ACCAGTCACTACAGGGATGATTTTCCACCAGGTGTTGTTTTGGAGGGTGACAGAAGCAACGAACCAACAGCGCTCCAGGTTAAGTGAGGCGAAAGAGAAAAAGGACAAGTCCATGGAGGCATCATCCCAGAAGTTGCAGGAAAAAAACGGGAAAATCCATGAACATCAACCAATGACCAAGGGAACTTCCTTATTTTTCTGTGGTCACTAGCAACTGCAGCTTGGAATGATGACATGTCAGCGGGCAAATCATCTACAACTTGTGTTCTTTCCCATCTCAGTCTTGTCCAACACCTGTTCAAGAGGGTCATAGCACAAGAATCAGTACCCAAACTACCCTCTGGTAATTTAACACAGCTATTGAAAATGGCCATAGAAATAGTGGATTATCCCTTAAAAAATTGTGATTTTCCAAAGTTTCGTGTATGTTTACCAGAGGGTAATGTTCTGGATGCATCATGTTGCGCAGGTTGCGACGTCGAAGTGCTGGTAAGGATTGGGGCACCCTCAAATGGCCCAAGATTTTGGGTTGGTGAATTGCTGTAATTTACCATCCAGTACACTAACATAGCTATTGAGAGTTACTATTTTTAACTGGTAAATCATCGAAACAAATGGGCAAGTTCTAGGTCCACCGCTAACAGGCAGCCGTGAGACAATGTGACCAGAATGGTGCAAGCTGCCTTCCTTTTCTTTCCAATTCCACTGCGTGGAATTTCATCTGCCGATTTTGGCAAATGACACATCCCTGTTTGGGGACAGCAGCTTCACACCTTCCTGCTTTTGGGGAAAGCATCTTTATTCAATGGCCGGAAACTGTTTCTTTTCGCAGGAAGCTTAGCGGGATCTGCGTGTGCAAGTGCAATAGAAGATCTTCGAGCGTAGCGTGATCTGCGTGTGCAAGATCTTTTAGCATAGCGTGATGTGCGTGCGCAAGTGCAAGAGAAGATCTTCTAGCGTAGCGTGATCTGCGTGTGCAAGTGCAAGAGAAGATCTTCTAGCGTAGTGTGATCTGCATGTGCAAGTGCGATAGAAGATCTTCGAGCGTAGCGTGATCTGCGTGTGCAAGATCTTTTAGCATAGCGTGATGTGCGTGCGCAAGTGCAAGAGAAGATCTTCTAGTGTAGCGTGATCTGCGTGGGCAAGTGCAATAGAAGATTTTCTAGCGTAGCGTGATCTGCGTGTGCAAGTGCAATAGAAGATCTTTGAGCGTAGCGTGATCTGCGTGTGCAAGTGCAATAGAAGATCTTCGAGCGTAGCGTGATGTGCGAACGCAAGTGCAACAGAAGATCTTCTAGCGTAGCGTGATCTGCGTGTGCAAGTGCAATAGAAGATCTTCGAGCGTAGCGTGATCTGCGTGTGCAAGATCTTTTAGCATAGCGAGATATGCATGCGCAAGTGCAAGAGAAGATCTTCGAGCGTAGCGTGATCTGCGTGTGCAAGTGCAATAGAAGATCTTCGAGCGTAGCGTGATTTGCGTGTGCAAGATCTTTTAGCATAGCGTGATATGCGTGTGCAAGTGCAAGAGAAGATCTTCTAGCGTAGCGTGATCTGCGTGTGCAAGTGCAATAGAAGATCTTCGGGCATAGCGTGATTTGCCTGTCTTCGAGCGTAGTGTGATCTGCGTGTGCAAGATCTTTTAGCATGGCATGATGTGCGTGCGCAAGTGCAAGAGAAGATCTTCTAGCGTAGCGTGATCTGCGTGTGCAAGTGTAATAGAAGATCTTCGAGCGTAGCGTGATCTGCGTGTGCAAGATCTTTAAGCATAGCGTGATATGCGTGTGTAAGTGCAAGAGAAGGTCTTCTAGCGTAGCGTGATCTGCGTGTGCAAGTGCAATAGAAAATCTTCGAGCGTAGCGTGATTTGCGTGTGCAAGTGCAATAGAAGATCTTCGAGCGTAGCGTGATCTGCGTGTGCAAGATCTTTTAGCATAGCGTGATGTGCGTGTGCAAGTGCAAGAGAAGATCTTCCAGCGCAAAGTAACAGGAACGCGCAAGAAGAACGTTACTGCCCTACCCCACCCCCCCACCCCACACCCCAAAAACCCAAAAATTGGTCGAACCCCCACGGCCGTCTATAAGCTGTGGTCCAATTACTGAGTAAATGTGTAAGGAACCGCCAGCAACTTTAGTGACGGCAGTCGCCCCAATAATGCGTAGAATTTATAGCCACCCTTAAAAAAAGAGATCCCGAAGTGAACAGATCCAGCACCAAATCAGGGTCTTTGTTTGGGGATCTTGATGACTAGGAGGACTGCATTATAAAGCCAATTAACAATATAATTATGTGATGAATGGTTGTTATTGTTATTTAAGCATGCAAAAATTGTGCTGGAATCCCCCAATCAGTGTAGCCTGTGGTTCTAGTTCAGCTACATACTTCTCGGAGCAAACATATGCACAAAAAGTTGGCTCGCGTGTCTTAAAAGTTGCCAACACCCACCCATGAGTAACACCAGTAGGTATGCGATGGTATGCGTAGACCACTGTACAGACACACGATTTTCTTTGTTGAAAGCAGAATCGAAGTAGATTGCGCTTCCAGTGGATCTGAATGCCTTTATTTCTGGAGTTTCCTGCAATGATGGCCCCAGTTATACCCATCCAAATGTCCCTAAACCTGCGGCCCGTTGGCTACCATATCCCAAGTATCCCAATACGTTCCCAAGTTTATCCCCGTGAAACTACGGATATCATTGAATCGCCCAGATATTCCCCAATTTATCCAAGATTTATCCCACATTTATCCTATACCTCGAACTTTCATCCCACATAAAAATCCCAGAAAAAAAATCCGGGATAACACCTGGTCAATTGGAAGATCAGGCCCCCAAAATGGAGGTACAACGTACCACATCAGTGCCACATGTGCGGCTCGATTTTCTGGGGATCTTCCAGCGGCCATGGCTCCATGTCTGCGTCCAGGCCAAGGCGCTTCTGGCCATTGCAGAGGTCAATGCAGATCAGCGTGGCAGCAAGAAGCGGGAGGAGGCCCATTTCCGCGCCGCCATGAGGATTCCATCGGGGATTTTCACTCAAGATATGGTGATTTACAGATTTTACAGGATTCCATGGGGGTTTATAGGATTTTAACTGACTAACCATCAAAACTATGGGGATATAGTTGATACATGATGGTTAGTTGATGATTACCCTCTGGTAATTTAACACTTTGCGGACTGGAAAACGGTCCATTTTTCATCACGGTGAATCATCGAAAAAAACATGGGCTATCTATACCATAGCTATGCTAAATTACCAGAGGGTATAGGGGCTTATACTAACCAATATTTTGGGGAATATTGCAATCAATAATTGGGGAAATCCTGTTCTCAACCAAGCAGTTTTTGAGAGGACGACACAGGGTTTGAACACTACTCCAATGAAAGAATTGAGGGGGAAACTTCGGCAAATAAGGAAATCCAGCACAATTCAGCAGCAAAAATGAAGGAGTTCGAGAATACCTATGGAGATTGTGTTGGGATTGAAAATTGGAAGGTTCCCCAAACTATCGGGATTGGTTCACCAAAATATGGGATTTTTTCCAACAGAAACCGGGGATGAACCTGAGAAAATTCTAGGGGGAGAATTCACCAAGGGATTCAAGGGGATAAGAATGATAAGACATGAGAAAAAAATGACAGAACACGCCGCAATCTTGGGGACTTCATGTAGATTAGATCCAATACCAGTCACAAGGTTTGGGGGAGTCACAGGGGGAAATATTGTGCTGAAACCAAATATTACGAAAACAATCTAAAACATTAGACATTTCGGAGATTTTGCACTAAACAGAGGCAGATCAAGTGGTTAAAGACATGTTTTGGGGGATGATGGGTTTGACTATACAAAACGACGAGCATATTTTTCAGGGACATTCAAACCACCAACATTTTAACATGGGAATTGTGCAATTTCACCACATTTTCAATATAGAAAGTCTAGTGGTTATGTAGGTTGTTTTCTATGAACAAGTTGGATGGGGAAATGGAAAACCTGCAAGAGAGGGGATTTGGTGGTGATTTCCGATCATTTTTTCCAACCTGCTAGGTGAGGGTCTCTAGATTTTATCAGAGTTGCTTCCTCCTTCTTCCTCTCCTCCAGCAGCCTCGGATCTCAACTGCGAGCTCCGGATCACAGTGGGCACTGCTGGACCTCACCAGCGCCGGATGTCACGCACAGTGAATGTCAGAAGAGATGCCAGAAAAAATGCTGGAATGAATGCTTGAAAAGATGCTAGATAATGCTAGATAATGCTAGATAGATTGTCAGAATAGATGCCAGATAGAATACAAGAAATTATATGAAATTATGCCAGAACAGATGCCAACTAGAATGTCAGATAGAATGCCAAAATATATGCAGGAAATACTGCCGGATAGAATGTCAGAATAAATATGCAATGTTTATTTCCAAATGGTATGCCAGAAACTATGTCAGAACAGTGTTTCAGGGCGGGGAGCAGTCGAAGAAAGTAATTGCAAGAGGAAATTCATCAAACTGATCCTCTAAAGGGGTTTATTTTCCCATACGTGTTTTAGATACGGTACTGCCTTACAAACATGGCCAGCAAGAGGAAAGTAGAACTGGGACCTGATGTATTCAACTTGGGGGCAAAATAACGAGAAATGTGCATGAACCTTTCTGACAGTCAGAGTCCCTGGCACCCTTGAACAGACAAAGTTAGATGTTTTCGGTCAGGACATGATATGATCGCCACCATCCAGCTCTGAAAACATTGCGTAGCTGCATAGCAGTGAATAAACAACTAGAACACGAGACATCCCAACTTCCCTGATGACACCAGAGGCTTTTATATCCCATCATATTCCCGTTAATATATCTCGTTAATATTCCCATTCATAAATTCCATAAATGATTTCGTGGTTAAATCCAGTTTATATATGTTTATATGGCTTATTAAATAACTATTATATTCCCATTAGTACCCCAATAATATTCCCATTCACCATTTCAAATAGCTAAATCCTGGCACATTTTTTTCAGTTCTGGCACCCCCTGGGTACGTTGACCAGGCACGAAGTGCGGGGCAGGAGGCCTTCGATCTCTTCGTTCAGCTGGCGGATCTGCGTGGGCAGGCTGCGGCCTTGCTGGTGCAGTCCCACGTGAGCATCAAGAGTAAGAACCAGGCGCGGTCGTGGTTTTTGGGAGGGGAGAAAAAGTGGAATGTCAAGATATGGTGGTTTCTTAAAATAGGGAATACATGGGAATACCCACCAATAGCCATTTTGAATAGGGAAAATGAGGTTCCAATCCATTGGAGATATCCCAGTCTCAGACAAAGTCTTATTGTGGGATGCAATGGGATGTAATGGGATAGAATGGGAAGAAGATGAGGATATTTTGGGATTGAATGGGATATACAGTAGTAGGATATACTGTAATTATTGGGAATATCATGGGAATATCATGGGATACTTGGAGGTATAATTGGGATTTAACGACCAGACATGGGGACAAACGGTACTGTATAAAACCTAGCATTTTTTAAATAGTTTCAATTTTAAATTTTAGGGTAGGGGGATAAAGAACATGGTGGTCTACACACTCACATATATATATATATACATACATACATACATACATGTATGCATGCAAATGCAAATACAAATACAAATGCAAGTGTAAATGTAAATGTAACTGTCATGTCGTGTCATGTCATGTCATGTATGTAATGTATGCAATGTAATGGGGTGTAGCGTAGTGTAATGCAATAATGTAATGTAACGTAACGTAACGTAACGTAATGTATATATGTATGCAGGCAGGTTTATCCCTCATATAAACATTGGGAACTTAAGCACCAAAAATAGGAGGAGGGGTGTGAAGTCCAAACATTTTTTTGAGGATGTACTACAGTCAGATGTAATCGGATGCATGAAAAGCACTACGTTTTTTTTTTTGGGGGGGGTCGCCCTGAAATATGCGGCATACCCAAAAATGGCACTTTCAGAAATTTCATTGGGCCAAGGCATGATACGTCTTACTAAACCATTCGAATTTGGACAAACCCTTTGTGCAAACCACATGGTGGGGAATCATCGATGGATTGGATGATGGATGTGTTTGACCAGGAGAGTTTGATAACGGGAGGAGTCTTTAGACGGGGGTCACCCATCAGGAGAAAGAGAAGCGTTCGGTGGAGGCAATGGCGCTTCTTGGCGCAAAGTTGAACATAGTTTTTCCTAGATTAGTGCCTGAAGGCCGGGAGATCATGGGGTGCAAGCAACAAGAATCTTGATACCAACAAACAGTTTAGGTATATTTGGGTATCAAACTCCATTTTCAGCTTCACATTTTGCCAGTTGATTTCTACAAGACGAGACTTGCTGGCTAGGATGATGCAGTGGGATGCTTGAAGACTATCCAATTTTGGGATCAAAATCCTCAAACTTTTGCAATTTTGGCTGCTTAAAATCCAAGGTCCCCAGTTTGGTGCTGAGAGTTGGAATCTAATATGTTGCGCCTTTTGGTGGTCAGAACCCTAACTTTTTTTTTGGCTGAATCTATACAAAAATCAGATTGCAAACATATGCAACAAGATGTTTTCTCGACATATTTTTGCTGCTTGTAATCGTTATCATCCCAATTTTAGCTGGTCAGACGTCGACAGATCACAATTTTTGCAAGTCAAACGCACGGTTTGCTCGCAACATCTTTCAAACATCGGTTTTCGTCGTTTTTCCTCATTCCGCCCAGGTCTTCATGTCTTTTCCAGTGATTCTCATGTTTTTTCCCAAGGAATTTCCCCATCATTTCTGTCCCATTTCCTCCTTTTCGGCCGGGCTTTTCGCAGCGCCGAACACCCAACGTCCGAGGTTCGCTGCCAAGGCGCAGCGGTTGAGCGTGGAGCTGCGGGATGTGCGCGGCGAGGCCTCGTGTCTGCACGCCATGGCCTCGGCGCATGACATCGTGGATCAGTGCCTGGGATTGTTGGGCGATTTTCGCGGAGGATTTTGGATGAAAAAAATGGAGCTGGGGAATATGGGAATCTATGGGAACCTATGGGAACCTATGGGAACCTATGGGAATCTATGGGAATCTATGGGATTTCGATGTTTTGTTTGAATGGAAATCCATGAGTCCACTAGGTGAACAATGGTTTATGGTAGATATATCTAGGGATAATACGAGATAATGGGATTTTATAAACAATGATAAGCTGCTGAAGAAAGATTCCCCATGGTTATTCCGTTACCCAGAAGATATCCCAATCAATCCCCATATTTCCATATAGGAATCTCTCATTTGGTACGGAAATCCTATGGCTTTGCTGATGAAAACTGGGGGAGAAATCCCAGACACGACAATTCACGTCGGACAATCCGATAGGGGAGAGCAAATCCAAGTCGGAACTGTTGATAATTCATAGGGCATTATTGTTTCATAAGATTTACCCTCTGGTAATTTAACATAGCTATGGAAAATCACCATTTTCAATGGGTAAATCAACAATAAATGGCCATTTTCAATAGCTATATTAAATTACCAGAGGGTACGTATGTATATATATATATGTGGGCTATCTGGGTACAATAGTGGCGGTATAATCAGCATATATCCCTATCATGTGGGGCATTGAGGATTTGGGCATAATGATAATTCGGAATTGTATGGGATTTAGTGGGATATAAGTAGGATAACGGGAATGTAGCTGAGCGGAGGAATATTGAGAACCTAACTAACAATCTGGAAGGAAGACATGTGGGGAATCGAGATTTATTCATGGGTGTTTTTTGATGGACATGTATCTAAATTAACATGGGAGGAATTGTTGATGGGATATAAGGAGGATTTAATGGGGGTTTAATGGCAGGCTTTCGCGAGATTTAAGAATTTGAAATAGGGATTTCATGGTGACTTCATGGTGACTTCATGGTGACTTAATGGTGACTTAATGGTGACTTGATCTAGAGCCTAGAGAGAAACATGAGGGAGAACATAGTTGGTGAAAAATAAATGCTTAATAAGATACATGATGAAACATATTACTATATCATATGATGGATTATATGACTATAAGGCAGAACTATGATGATTAATGCAATCGGAATATACAGGCAAAACATGGTGATTGGACCGTTAAATACAACAATTTAATGGGATATCATAGGGACACATGGTGATTGACCAGTGAAAAATTCAATAGGGACTTAACATGACTAAACCCCAGTCATGCGGATACAATTGGATATGGGAATATACTGGGGATGAAACTCAACTGACTACGAGGACTGACTGCCCTACCTTGGGTGGGATACAATGGGAATGTGGAAGAAAATGGGATGCTACACTAAATGTGGTGGATTTTAACCAGCAATGATGTGGATTTGATCAATCATGATCAATCATGATCAAGCGTACATATGATTTATATGGGGATATGACTAAGAATATGTGATTCTTATGTGATATTGGAGGAATGGATGAACATGGGAACTTAACATGACCCAACCCCCAGTGACGGGGATATATGGTGATACAATGGCTTTACACCCAACAGCATGATTTCAATATGCCAGCAAAAGACATTTGATTGGATAATTTTGATTATTTGTACATGTACGAAAATTGCTACTGGAGGAAACAACTCCAGTTCTGAGAGGAAAAATCGATGAAGAGAACTTCTGGAGCCAAGTGGTGATGATGATGATGATGATTATGATGATTATGATGATGATTTAGTGCTGGTGATGAGTTTCTGACGACATTTCGCAGCCACACCCCAACATCTTGACACATCTTCTCAACGGTGAGAAGCTGAAATTTGTCTTTAAGTGGGCAATTTTTCATATCATCATAACTCACTGAGTGTTACATACCGATAGGCTTATGGTCCATTTCCCAACTGGGCCCCCCGTTGTTGCGGTTACGGGGAGAATCGGAGAACCGGAGGCACATGGAATGCATCCGGGCCGCGGAGGATGCGCTGGACCTCTATTTGGACCTTCAGGTGGGTTTTTCCATTGCCATGTTTGAGTAGAGAGTGAATCCACATGAATCCACTATGATGATTTCTATGAACAACATTGAACAAAATGAAAAACCACACACACACATATATATATATATCTGTTATATATATATTTATTATATATATATATATCTGTTATATATATAATATTATGTATAAAAGCGTATATTCAACCAGCAGAAGCCATTTTTTCCCATGGTGTTCCGCATGCCAACCGGGATCCAGGACCCCTACGCAGAGGGCTTCGAGCTCTGCTGCATCGCGCAGTGGTTCGTGAACCACGGGCGGCTTCAGCTGGCGGTGAGCTACGCTGAGGCCCCGTTGGGGCGGATGGGATGGGATCTCTGGTTAACCATGGTTAATTATGGTTAGTAATAGTTAACAGTGATTAATAATATATTGGTTATGTTTAATAGTGGATAATGGTTAATATTTAATAGTGGCTAGTAGTGGTTGATTATATATATACACTTATACTTATATATATATATCTTCACCCAAGTGGGGGTTGCATAGTCACGGGCGTACCCCAATAGGTGGTTGGTTTATTTCATGGAAAATCCAATCTATAAAATGAATGATTTAGTGGTACCCCCATTTTAGGAAACTTCCGTATAACGATCCCCGGGGATTAACAAATGGGATAAAAGCTACATAACCGGGACTTACCATCCCCGGGGTTATTCACCACAGCCACGATTCGTGGGATGATCCAAGCGGGCTTTCTTGAGCCATGGGGATAGATACGGGGCAGATCATGCAGATCATGGAACAAACAAACATGGTAACGTCACCCGGACATGATGATTGAAGACTAGTTGATCACCATCATTGACGTACCTCGGCCACTAAAAAAAAGACTAGGACCGTAGGACTAGCATGGGCATCATGGATTCTTCATCAGAGTTATTACCCAGTTATGATTCCTGCATTGCCTGTGGTCTTCCCATACTGTTTTTTTTTTTCCCGGAACTATCAGCGCATCCCATTAAAAAAAACACGGCGAATAAATCACCGTCAGTTCCCAATTCATCTTCCATCTCCCAAGAATTTTCTATTCATGTTCAATCAACTTTCATCAATTTCCGGTCCAGTTTTAATCGGTTTTCCACCACTTTTCCATCCACCCTTCCCTCATTTTCCATCAACTTTCATTCCATTTTCCATCAAACGAATCAACTTCCAGCCATTTTCCAGCCATTTTCCAGCAATTTTCCACCAAGTCTTCCTCCAGGGTTCACTCCGGCCGCCCCCCAGGATGCCCTAGAGATCCTACGCAAGGCGCCCAAGCCGAGCGCCTCGCAGGAGCTGAGAGCCTTGCAGCTGCTGTCCCAGGCAGAGAAGTTGTTAACCAACAGATGCTGATGTTAATAATATAATATATGTGTGTATATATATACACATGTTATTATATTATATAGTTATTAATATATATAATGCAAACTGAGTTCATGGATCTTAATAGATGTTAAATAATGTGTTTTTAATGTGTTTTTGTTTTTTTTCCCGGATCATGTTCATATTTCATGTAATAGTTATATAGCCTTTAGAGTTATGGTAATAAGTTATAACTTTGGTCATATTTATAGTGAACAGGGAATAGCTAATGAAACATTGATAGCTAGATTTTAAAGTTAACTTCAGCTAATATCTAGGTTCTAGACTTAATCGTAGTTATATACAGTAACCCCCAAAAAGATAGAAAACTGTTCCCAGGATGGTACAGATGATATTTGCCACGTATTTTCAGGTGTTCCACTTTTCTATCTATGTTGGGCTTGCTATATATATATACATATATATATACATATATACATATATATATACACATATTTATAATTTTATCACACACACATATATATATATATATATATTATGTGTATATGTGTGTATATCCTTTAAGTTGAGATTTAAGCAATAAAACCCCGGAGTTCACCTGGATCTGAGGCTTTTTAAAAAATGGCTCGATTTTCACGTGGACGTGACATGACCTTGACCCACAAAAACCCACAAAAAATGGGGGTAAAAGGACTGAAATTCCTCAGTAAATACCAGGTATCCTCAACTAAAGCCACATAACCAGAATGAGAATCCCCAATTCTTGGAGGGTTTAGTCGCCTTAAAAAACGCCGCCCAAAAATGGCGATGACCGGGCCAGGCACACGAGCAGCGCGGCGACCAAAGCGGCGTGAACGCGGTGCATGAGAGCCTGAAGCGCTTTCAGGACTCATCCCCCAGCTGGGGATACCCATAAATGGAGGGTTTAGCCCAATAGCTGGATGGTTTATTTCATGGAAAATCAATCTATGCCCTCTGGTAAACTAACATAGCTATGGAAAATCACCATTTTCAATGGGAAAATCCACTATAAATCACCATTTTCAATAGCTATGTTAAATTACCAGAGGGTAAAATGGATGATGACTGGGGATACCACCATTTTAGGAAACCTCCATAACCATTTTCATAGGGAAAACGAGGTTCGAATCCAGAATTTTTTAGGGTACCCTATGTTCAGAGAATTCCATACCATATGGGAATACAGAGCAACCCCAAAACAGAGATGTCCTCGGCAAGTATCATGGAAGTGCCCTATCCTAGTAGCAGATGCGGCATCTTTTTGGAGATGCTGAGATGATATTTCCTCTGGTAATCAGTCACATGGCTTTAACAATCCACCAATTTTTCATAGTTAGTTTAAAAACAATAAAATCACTGATCATTAATCACCAATGGGAAAATCATTAATTAATCAGTAATCTACCCTCAGGATTTTTCCATTTGCCCATTGCATTAGGGGCTTTTCCGAGCTACGCCATTTGGGAGTTTGCGAAGAGGAACATCATTTTGGATAGATAAAACATCGAAATCAACTCTATTTACCAGAGGATACATTTAAGAGAGAGAGGAGACAATGAACGTGGAACTGTGGAACCAAAAAACATTGAAACACGATGGTCGTACTACGAACTCCGTGTTATCATTTTTGGGTTCCATGTTCAACGGTGATGTTTCATCGCTGAATCATTAAACTGGCATAGATCCCATCACGAATAGTGCCAGGTACGAAACCAGGGAAGGGATTATCATTGGGTAGAACTGGTTTAGCAATGTAACCAATGTACCATCAGACAATGGGGACATCATCCGGTTGCATATGGCCCTGAATTGGTCGCTTGGTCCTTAGATTCTGATCCATATGGGGTGGATCATTGGTCAAACCATATAGATGGTGAACTACCTGCCACATCTCGGCAGTTTCAGACACGACCTCTCTGATCCTCCGGTGGAGTGCTTTTTTTTTGCCATATGAAATCCTAGTGCTTTGAAGCCGAAAGGAACGGAGCTTCCATCGTTGAGGTCCCATTCTCCATCATTCTCCGGGCAGAATGGGCACTAGGGGCATGTTCCATCCTTTGGGGGACGCGGCGTGTTCCAGGATACCAACAACCAGACCGCTGAGGCCACACCTGAACGGGGCATCCAAGGGATGCTTGAACCGATAACCCGGATCCAAAGTGGGGAACATGTTGGAACCCACCAAAAAAACATCACTGGTTGGTGGTTTGGAACATGAATTTTATTTTCCATATATGGGATAATCCTTCCCATTGACTTTCATATTTTTCAAGATGGTTAAAACCACCAACCAGATCAGATTTCTGAAGACTCTGGAGTTTGACATGCTGAAAAACCAATGTTGCAGGATATTGCTTCTCTGTAGAAGCCGCAGCTTGCACCATCCAAGGGCCTTGGGTCTTCCTGCAATCTTTTCCCGAACATGGTCCACTAGTGGGCCAAACCTTTGTTATATGAGGAGGAAACGCTGAAGACCAGGAAAAAGTAGGAGTTGGTAAATCGACATTCAATTGGAACAAATGAACACTTACGCCAAAGGAACCTGTGCGACCATTTCCAGAACGGGATGAGGGAAACAATTTCAGGAAACGTTCCTCCTTGCAGGGCAAAATGCCATCGTCTCCAATTATTTTCCATAGCACCCCCGCACAAAGATAGAAACGCACACTTTTGCGAAGACTGGACGATTTTTTACCTTTTCTATCTTTTTGAGGGTTTCGATAATCCGGCAATGCCCTTTTTTGGCACCAAGCTGTTAGCCGCATCTCAAGCTGCAGGCGGCCGCCATGGACATGCTACTGCGTGCCCACTGCGACAAGGGAGAGTTCCAACAAGCTCTGGACATTGCTGCGAGGGCGCGGATGGCCTTCAAGAAGATTGGGGATGAAGTATCTGGGCGAGATGCCCTGTAAACTTGTGGCGATGGAAAATGGAGCCCGCTAGTTTGAGGTTGGATGACTTTTATAAAACTTATATAATGGAAACCGATACCTGTTTTTTAATGGCGATTCTCCAGAGCTATGTTAGTTTACCAAAGGGTAACTCTCCGGTGGTGAATGGAGGGAGCAAACTAAGGATGTGGTATCCATATTCCTCGTACAAGCCACGGGGAGCCAACGAGATATGAAGTGAGTTTCCCAACCACATGATGGCATAAATCGTGGAAGGATATATTCGGCACATACATATATGCATATGCATAGCATACTATATATGATTTGGTTTTGTCTGAAATTGGGGATGCCCCGATTGATGGCAATTCGAAGTTGGAAAATGATAAATCATGAGAATGTGGGGAAGAAGTATCACAGCACAATGGGAAAGAACTGCGGCATCCAGGGTTGAACTAGGTTTCTCCAAATAGAAAGATAAACACATGATGTCTTTGACCCCTCTCAAAAATGGGATTGTCTCAAAATTTGGAACCCTGATAAACGATGCCATGGGACAATTTTACATCATCTTCTTCAGTAAGGTAGCCACATGTTTGGCCCCGAACAAATCCCAGATACGCTTCTTTTTTCTGCAGCCGTTTGGTCGTTGGAGCAAGTGAAACCAAATCACTCAAAATCACAATGGTGAGCAGAATGACTGGAAGCCCAACAAGTGACAGTCGGGCTTCCTATGCACTGAGAAACTCATTGGTGTTTTTTGACATGATTCGGTGACTCTGATCCTTGTTGAACATCAACCGTGCAGGAATCCCAGCACCCTTGCATCCTAGCCTGAAGGGTCCTTCACATGCACTTCCGAAGGAATTAGAAGTTGCGCGTAGGTACAAGTAATTACCGCACCAATAGGTTATAACTATCCTGAAGCAATATATCGTTGAAAAGATAAATAGATCAAGCAAACAAGCAAGATCAAGTAACTACATAAATGAACAAATAGACGCACACATATATCATATATCATATATCATATATCACACACACACGTATAGATATATAAAAACATATATATCTACAAATCTTTATATGTATATATAAAAAAACCATCCAGTCACCAAGGCCGCGGAGGCCAACGTCGCCTCGGTGAGTGCCGGCTTGCATTTGAAGCTGCACATGCCCGATGAAGCGTTGAAACTAGGCCGGAAAGATGACATGTTGGGGCCACCAGCGAAACGATTTTTTTTAAAGCTTTTTAAAGATTTGAAGTTGGTGAATGCTTTTTTTTTTGTAGCTTATCTGACTTATCTAGAAAATGATTGGAAGAGATGAGGATTTCAGCGGATTGACTGAAACAACCGCTAGAGTTTATACCGCAAAAACATTGCTTTCTGCATTAAAACCAGCCAAAACAGGGAAGCGGGAAGCGATCCGGGTTTGCGGTTATCTCGCAGTAGAGATGAGGCAAATTGGTGTAGAGGCGCCAAGGGCATCCAAGGGCTGGGAACTGTGCTGAATGCCATGCCACAGCAGGTTATGAGGTCTTGGACCTGGTGCGAAAAAGCGGCTCCACCAAGCAGAAGTCGGACCTGATGATGACCTTGGCGCAGGCCTGAAATTTGGATTGAAGCATCCAGAGGTTGGGGAAACCCTGCCTAAATGGATGTTTATAGCTGGGAAAGTAACCTATAAAAAAGAGATAAACAGAGATTTTAAGGGGGAAATCATGATTTAGATGGATTCTAGCTGTGACGTCTTTGCAGTAGTGGGTGCTGATGTTTGCAGATGTTTCTCCCTGAATTTGCCAAACCAAATCCCTTTGACATAGCGGGAACTTTTTCAGAGCAACGAGGACCCCACAAAAAGTATTGGTTGGAACCACTGGGAAGAGTATTATTAGTCCCTTCCTCCTTATGTTACATACCACCAAAAAGAGACCCGAAATGGACTGATCTAATACTAAACGGGGCTTTCTGCGGATTTTGAGCCCCAACTGCCAGGCTTACCTGGAAAAGCAACAGCCAGAGGATGCCCTGGACATGTGCAACGAGATGCAGCACTACTTCTCGGAGAAAGGCCGGGACTGGAAGTTGGTGAATCATGGCCGGCTACTAAGTCGCTTCCCCTCCCAAGGTATCTGAAATGTTGGGGGCCATGATACCCTCTGGTAATTTAACATAGCTATGGAAAATCACAATTTTTAATGGGAAAATCCACTATAAATGGCCATTTAAATCCACAGTTTTTCTGCAGGTGATGTCGAGGGAGAAGCTGAAGCGCTCTTGGCCGCTGGTTCGCTCCATGTGCTGCAAGAGGCCGTTGCCTAGAGCCACTTCAAATTCAACCAAGAAAAAAAACAAGGGTAACGCCCATTGCCACCCCTTCTCATGTATTACAACCAATGGCCAATAGCCAATTTCAGGAGCCCGGAGGCCATTCATTTTGAGCATCACCGCCCACATTTCTTTTGCGTTGCTGATATCCCCAGTCTATCGTTCGTTACCCCATCCCATTTTTCCCAGTTACCCCTTGGAAACGAAGCTGGAAATTCACAACTGGGTTTGAACGACTATTGTGCCACCGGAAACTGCTTAGTTTCGGAGCCTGCCATAGGCCCTCGCGCGCTCGCAGGCCGAAACAGCGAGTGAACACACCCCCAGCCCCCAGACCCCACATCATTGAAAAAAAGACCGCCCTTGAAGTGCGAGGATGATCGCCACAGAATAGCATATTTTCCTGGAGGTTGAAACCACAAACCAGTGACAGTTCCTCCAATCTTTCTAATTTCCTTCTCTCGTCCTAGGTTCTTCTAAATTTGCTCCAAAATTTCACCCGCAAAAATCGATCAACTCCCACATTGCCCACACATTTCCCAAGGTTTGCCTCATTTTTTCGCAATTTTCCGCATTTTTTGTAGGGCAAAAATAGCGCAGCCCATGGACTCTCTCCAGGACTTGGACCAAGCCCGCGACAAGGCCGTGAAGGCGCAGCTGATGCTCAGCGAGGAGCGGGATGTTTTTCATAAATGGCCCGGTGAAGTCACATTATCATTGGGAATAATTATCACATTTTTTTGGGAATAATTTGGTTGATGTTGATAAATCATCCCCAAATTATCCCCAAAATCACATTGGGTTTCTCACATGAATGGGGATAATCATGGTAAACCATCAACAATAGGGATGATTTATTTGGGTTCTACAATTGGATGCTTTACCCTCTGATAAACTAACATAACTATGGAAAATCACAATTTTTAATGGGAAAACTCACTATAAATGGCCATTTTCCATAGCTATGTTAAATTACCAGAGGGTATTTGGGTTCTACAATTGGATGCTTTAGCTCCTAAAAAAGTCACCAGTCCATCTGTGGTTCCCTGGGTCTTCGGTGACCAGGAGGGCCTAGCAAGCGGGGAGGGCCGAGCCTTGCGGCTGCTGGCGGAGATTTATGCCAAGCAAGAACAGCACAAAGCGGCCATCAGGTGGGACCTACTTTCAACCGACAAAGATGGAGATTTCATGGTAATCAACATGGGGAGATATTATGGATACGGATACGTATATATATATACGTATGTATGTATGTTATGTAATGTAATGTAATGTAATGTAATGTAATGTAATGTAATGTATGTATGTACGTACGTATGTGTGTATGTCATGTCATGTCATGTCATGTCATGTAATGTAATGTAATGTTAATGTAATTTAAATGTTAATGTTGATGTAATGTAATGTAAATGTTAATGTAATGTAATGTAAGGTAAGGTAAGGTAGTGTAATGTAATGTAATGTATGTATGTATGTGTATGTGTATGTGTATGTGTATTTGTATATACGTATGTATACGTATATATATATATATATATGTATGTATATGTATGTATATATATACACCCAACCTTCCAAAAGTGTTTTTTTGGGTGTATCTGAAACGAATCAGCTTCTAGCGTACCCATCTGTTGGTTAGTTAAAAAGCTGGGCATTTAACCATCATGTGCCAGAGATTTCGAGTATCAAAGATATGGGGATATAATTGAGATATGTATCTGGGTAAATTATAACGACCTCACTGCGACCTCACTGGGAATGATGGTTAGTGAGGGAAATAATCCCCAAATGGCCTTAATTCAGGTTGGTGAAATATTATAATTTACCCAGATATATGATAAGTGATGACTGGCAGATGATTGTATAGAAGGGCTTTGCTACCTGTCACATATTTTTTTTGGGGATAATCATAATGCACGATGGGCATCCCCATAAAACCAAACATTATTTTGGATACATCCACGAGGTTTTTGACACTGCTCAGACAAGCAATGCCACATAATTCCTATCATTGGGATGGTTTGGCGCATATTTACAGCAAACCTGGCTCAAATACCTTCCAATAATTTAAGCTGGCTGGGACATCGCCAATTTATAATATCTATAGAGAACGATCCAATGTTTTCACATTTCTCAGGGGCATCCCAAGACACTTAGAGGGGCTCAGATAGGACGTCTGGGATATGGTTCCGATGCTGGATCTTGTTCTCATGGGTCGCTGATTCATAGGAACTGTTGATGACAAACTTTTGCAGACCTGTGCAAACATGTTTGCAGAAAATCGAACTTCTTACCATCCGATAAATTGACAAATCACCATTTGTAGCTGATTTTTCCAGTAAAACTTCCATTTATGGTGGGCTTTCCCATTACCATGTTTACGGCTTGTGTTGCTTGATCCCAAGGCCTGTTCTGATAGTGTCGTAAGTTTAACCCACTTGGACTCCAAATTGTGGTCCCAGATGTCCCAGATGTCCCAGATGTCCCAGGGCGGGTGAACGCAGCCGGGCACTCCTTCGCGGAGAAGAGAATCCCGTGGAGGAAGCGTCGATGCTCTTCTTGGTGGCTCAGGACGATGAAACCCTGTCGATGTTTCGCATCGACCCTTTGGTGTTTTTTTGTTCAGCTGGGAAATACACAGTCTCAGTGTCAGAGAAATTGAGTTTTTTTTTTTTTTGGTGTGTTTAATGGGAAAATCATCTACAGCTGGGTCCGTTGCCTTGTTTATGTGTTTATGATTACCGGAGGGTGCACATAAGTAAAAATCATTTTATATTTATAATATGTATATAAACCATTATAAATGTACATGCATGCAGATAATTGCAGATACACATATACACGCACATCGCACTCTTAGTAGTCTTTCCCCCTCCTGCATGTCATGGCAGGGGGTTCTCTGTGTTTCCCTTCCAGGTGTGGTGGAAATTACCACTGTTTTTTTGGGGGTTAAGATGGCTGTGAACCCACAAGATGTTTATGGATGAAAATGTCAGAGCGAGAGAGGGAGATCCATGCGTTTGAGCGGCGCTGCAGAACCATGCCTTCGGCTATAGCAACCCCAAGTCATAGATAGAAAAGTGGGAAATTTGGCAACATGAGCTAAGTATAATTTGTTTACCATCCTGGAAACACGTTTAGGCATTTTTTTCGTATAAGCCTTCCTCTTGTTGCCTTTCTCTCCGGAGACGCGAGATATCAACAAGAAACGGAGTCCACTGGCCCACGAGTAACCCCCAAAAAGATGCCGAAACGATCCGAAACGTGTTTCCGGGATGGTATATGTATAATTTGGAACTAATTTCATCTAATTTCCCTCATATTTCCAGATATTTCCAGTTTTCCAAAAACTTTTCGATCTATGACTTGGGGTTGCCATTGCTCGATTGGTCTCATGTTTTTGACCGACTTCATGGCGAGGAGTCGGTGCAGCTGGCGGTGATCGAGGGCGCCAGAGTGGGATCTGATAAGCCCCTGAAGAAACACGCCAGGCGCGAGCGGCGCGGGTCAATTCGGCAAGTGGGAACTCGCTGGAATCTCTTTGGAACGAAAGATTGGAAAACTCCAAGGATTGGGGGGTGAACTTCTCTTCGCCCACCAGTGGGTTTTCGATGATTTTCGTGGCTGAAGGTCAGTTTTTCATCTGGAAACATCAGCATACCGCAATCGTTTTCCACTTCTGAGGTTGCACGTAAGACAGTTGTCATCAAAAGTACCCTCTGGTAATTTAACATAGCTATTGAAAATGACCATAGAAAAAGTGGATTTACCCATTGAAAATGGTGATTTTCCATAGTTTTTTGTATGTTTCTCAGAGGGTAGTCATTGAAATTGGTCTTGGTTGAGAGGAACTCTTGCTCCACTTCAGGCCGACCTGTAGAAAACTTCCTGTAAAACTCGTTAAGCACCCCACGTAGAAACGGGTTGGCAAGCCTGATTAGCAAGTCCACGATTCACGGGTTCTCCCGTGTTTTTGAGTGGGTTATCCTCTGGTAAACTAACATAACTATGGAACATAACTATGGAACATCACCAGTTTTCATAGGTAAATCAACTCTAACTGGCCAATACTGGCCATATGCAATAGCTATGTTAGTGTACCAGTGGCTCAGAACATGTTGCAACCAGCAGCAGTTGCTGAAGGGATGCCCTGGACAAAGCTGAGAAGTCAGCACGGACGGCCATCAAGTTGTGCACCGAGAATGCTGCTGGTCCGACCGTCGTTTTTTGGGGCTCTGGGCTCTGGGCTCTGGGGAAAAAGGGTGATTTTCATGGATGAACATGGATGAACATGGATGATCAACTGGTGGGTGCCCAAGTTTCAGACAAAGCCATTTTTCTTTTGCCATTTCTGTTATTTCTGTTGGCTTTTGGAGGATTTGCTGTTCCAGAATGTCTCTGGTACGATTTTGGAGGGAACTTTCGAGGATTTTGAAGGGGAAAAGGTACAAACCACAAACAAATCCTGAAGCCGATTCTTCACCCACGACAGTTTTTTTTTTCATGATCTTATGGAGCTTTCAAGTACCGGCAGATCCAAGCATCGATATAACAAGATTAACAAGGGAATCGTGTGGCAGCGGTGATGGATGAACCAATTCCTTGGGTTCCTTGGGTTCTTGAAAGCTCTCGAGTTGATCGAGCTAAGGAGAAGCAAACAGGTATCACGGAGGTGTTGGGCTCCTCCATGTGCTCGCTCTCGCAGGCTGGAGCCCTGGGGGAGCCCTGGGGGAGCCCTGGGGGGCGGAGCCTGGGGCATCGGCCGAACCGTTCAGGTGCACATGCTGCGCAGCAAATACCCTGAAGCCCTGAAAGTGGCAGAAGAAGCGAGTCAGCTCTTCAAATCCAATGGCTTCATGCGAAATCAGGTGCAGCCTGGGTTTTTCCATGGACAGATCTGTTTGAGGGCCGGAGGCTCATCCATGGCAAAATGTTTCCATATTGCACGCTGGCCACGAAAGCCTTCCGTTCTGTTTGTGGGCGAAATCATCCAGCCTTTGGTTTTGGGTCGTGCAGTTGAGTCAGGCCTGCCCAAAAATACAGGGGGCCCCCAAAATCCTTTGCTTTATCATCCTTTTCTTTATGAAACCCCATTCTTGGACAACCCCCAAGTCATGTCCCATTCTCACCAGTGAAATCATAGTAAATCTCCGATTGATCATTATTTTTCCATATTTTTCCTCGGCTTTTCTCCACACTTTGAGTGGAAAATTTGGCGGCCGAGGGCTCTGCCTGTATGTTGTGCGCGGATGCGTATCGCGCCCTGGAAAAGCACAAGGAGTCGCAGAAAGCGGCGCTGGAGGCCGGCGGCGAATGGAGCGGTTCAGAGCTCTGGTTGTATTCAAATCCATATTCCCTTCCTGTTAGTAGCCATGAGAGCCATGGGAGCCAAGGAACTAGTGAATTTCCCAACCATCTGATAGGTAGAATTCTATAATCCACAAAGATCCGGCTGGAAGGATTCCTGATTTCTTCGGCTATTTCGCCACCATTTTCAGCCATGGAGTCTATAAGCTTGAGCCGTTCAAGCCAAGGATGGCCAAGTTTGCCCCAATCCCTAATCACTTAACAGTTCCTGAATCACTTACTTCAGGGTCACTCCAACCCATAAATGATAGGTGACTCAATAGCCACTTTTGGAGGGTAATTGGTAGATATTTTAGAATTTTACCTCTATCATCCTCTATGACTTTACTATGCTCTACTAAATTTTTACTCCATTTACAACCCAAACTAATAGCTGTTGAGAGCAACCCTGCTCCGCCTGGCCTCAGGCTGTGCAATGCTTCACGAAAAGCGCACCTTGGATTCCTTGGATTCCTTGGATCAGGATGGAAGCCCTGGTTATTTTATTACACCGCATTACCATAGTGATAATGAAGGATTGGGCGACCATTTTATGGGGGTATATGATATAGTATGGGGATAACATGTGGGAATATCAGAGGGATATTGAGAAAAACGAAGCAACAACATGTGATTCATGCGGGTTACACCACCCAGGAGTTTTACCATAAAGAAGTTCCGGGTTTGTCAAAAACATGTTTTTTTTGGTGTATACCTCCAAGGTGCCATTTCGATAAGGGATTCCGAGGTACCCCAGACACCGCTTTCGACGGAGGAACCATCAACATCCTTTGCCGTCCGTAGTGATTTCATTTTCTCCCATCATCGACATGTGACACGGCCATGAACACCTCATTCCATCTCATGCCTCTGGCAGCCTCAAGATGCTCAGTTTTTGTCTCAAACCATTGAATCTTTTGCTTGTCCCGGTCGCTTGAGACACCTCCATCTTAACAAGCACCGCCTAGGATCCTCCTGATGAACGAGGCCGGGGGTTTGAGGTGTGCAGATCCGCAGATGGGTCATGATTATATACCCTCTGGTTATGACTAACATAGCCATGGAAAATCACCATTTTTAATAGGTAAACCCAGGTAAACCATCTATAAATGGGCCATTTTCCATGGCTATGTTAAATAACCAGAGGGTAATATAAACTCCTGGGCATTCTGCTTCCATCCACATATTTACCGATCTTACTGTTCGCGATCCCATTTGCTGGTCCATGCTGGTCCAAATCCACCTGTTTCTTCGGTTTTCCAGGCCTTGAGGCCGCACAGGCGGTCCTGGATGCGCTGAAGCAACACTTGGCTCCCGCACCCATCAGAGCCGCTCCGGCAGGTGGGGATGGAGGGCTACAGTGGTGGTTCTTACCCTCTAGTAATTTCTTACGTAGCTATAGAAAATCACCATTTTTAATGGGTAAATCAATTTTACAACATAGCTGGGGATTTGGAGCCGAATTTTTGACTCGATTTGATTGGTTGAATTTACGGTATGAGGCTCTGACGGAGTTACTGAGTCATCCTGCAGCGGCTTCCATTTTTGTGGATGCTTTCAACCAACGATTGCCATTTCCAAAATCAACACCCCGAGAACTGCTGAGTTTTAGAATTAGTAGTTCTTCCAACCCAGCTCATGGCAGGTCTAGGCTATTCGGAGGGCATAATTTATTTTTTTGTCCAGACATAGAGCTGAAAACCGTTATAACATATTATAACCAGTAGGGCAAACTCAAGGAATTCAATGACCCCCCCATTTTCTCAGGCGGAGGCGGCTTGCCACCCCAGATGCTGATGCAAGAGGCTGAGGAAGAAGGTGACGGCACAGAACGGCGCGTGGCCAGGCGCCGGTGGTAACAATTGGGATTTGGGGTGATTTACCCATAAAAATCATTAAACTTGGGTTGTTCCAAGCCTTTGGCGGTGAATCATAGCAACCTTTGTTGGAGGAAAATAGGGATCATTTTGGCTCTCGATTTACCGAGCTTTCCCCCTTGAAGATGGGGAGTTGGGAACAACCATTTGGTTGGTGGTTTCAAGTGCTTTGCCAACTAGAATAGGCGTTTTCGAAGCATAATTTTGGAGATAAATCTAGTGTGATCATGATAAAACCGACAGACATGGTGGCTTCAAATATGGTGATGGGTCAGGGTCAAGAACCAAAGGACCATCCTTGAACTCTCCACCCTTGCCACCTTTGAATTGGGGGGGATGTAGCATAAGAAGTAGCAGCTAGTAGCAACTTCCAGTACTGGCGTTGGGTTGGCACAGCTGCAGGCCGAGACCCACAGGACCTGCCTTGGACATCAAGAATCTGCATCCTGACCTGGTGCCTTCGGCAAGGACACCATGGAGGACACCATGGAGTTTCTGCCATGAAATCTGCCATGAAATCTAGCATGATAGCAAAGTGAACACAGTGAACACAGTGAACACAGTGAACACAGTGAACACAGTGAACTGCAAATCAAATGTGACGAATTTCATCGAATTTCCCTTTTTCTCTTTTGGGGATGACTTTGCCAATAATCTGATTTGTTGTGCCCTAAACTTGACCTATCTTTGACCTATCTTCCGATGTGCCCGGAATCCGGAACTGGGACTTCACCAGCAACTGGTCGTTCGATCTCGGTGGAAACAGCCAGTTGTGACGGCCTGTTTTCGAGGTGAAAAAGAAGATCTTAGAGGTCGCACTGAGTTTGACCGGCGCAGATGAGGAGGAGATCGAGGTCTGATGGACTGGGGAGCGAAGGAACTGGTGAGGAATTGGTGGCTGGGTGGTTGTGAAGCCACTGCAACCAAAGACTCCTAGGGTCACTTGCCAAATGAGATGATCATGGTAGCATGGGCGCATCGAAACGTGTGTCTACCTGGTTGGGTGATACCCAACCAGCTGCTTTCCCTCGGCGAAAGCCAGGCGGACACTCCTCTCATGGAAGCCGGCTTGACCAGCACTATGGCAGTGGGGTGAGGGCCTTGGTGTCCAAAATTCCGAAATGGCACGGTGTGTTTCCCCCAAAGTTGGGATTCACCCCTTTGAGAAACAACAGGATGTGATATGCACATCAAAAATCATATAAATGTGTGCATAATTAATATGAATCAGATATTTTCCACGAATATGTTCCATGTAAAAGTGTGTTGCTTGTTTGGTCAATGGGGGAAGGACCTAGTGGATCTTGGTTGCCGCATGTGCCGCCAGAGCGCCGCCAGAGCGCCGCCAAGGTTGTCGGACGAGCTGAAGAAGGAACTTCCAGGTATCAATCTTCCTGTGGCTTGTCAGTGTGGACGGTCGGAGGCAGCTTTGTCAGAGGAGCTATGGGTAAAATATAAGAAAGATAAGAAAGGGAAAGAAAGGGGAACCAAAGAACTACGAATTGAGTTTCCTAACCACATGATATATAGTTAAGGACATACTGTAATCCAACTAAACGAATAGTTTTTCATGATTTTTCATGGGGTCAAACATGTTTGTTTTCTTCTTGGGGCCTTGAATGGGAGAATGAAGATCTATTTGCCAGATTCTACCAGCAATTTTGGAGTGAAACGTCGGGTGGCAGGGTGAACAGACACATATCCATGTGGCTCTATGATGGTTGACGCAGAATTCGACCAGTTTAGGACCTTCTTGGGGCCTTGCTGTCCAAGGTGACCCTGGTTTTTGACTACCCTTCCATCTCGGCTATGACTGAGTTGATCTTGGATGGCGACTGAGGGTCAGGGTTCCCCTTTGCTTGGGCGCCCAGAGAAAGTTGAAAGCCATTAGCAGGTTGGAGGCAAAATGGACCTCCCCTCTTCCACTGTTAGGGCGTCGCGACAGTTCCCCTGCCGATCCAAAAAAGGCTGCGCTGAGTGCCGCCATGGATTCATGGATGCCCAGTGGCCACTTGCATAGCCCTCACTGGGCTGATCCCGACCATCCGCTGGAGAGTTATGTGCCGGGTATGTTTGAACTTCGAACCAGATATATACTCGACTCTACGCTACTCTTGCACACATCCTGGGTAAACCTTGGGTCAAGAAGGAGAATTTTACCACACATGGCATCATATGGAGGTTTCCAATTCACAGGGGTACCAACAGTCATCATCCATTTCAATCAGCACTTTCTCTAAACCATCCAGCTGGGAACCCCCATGACTTAGGAAACCTCCATATTTGTACCGCCCCCATGGTGCCAGGCACTGGAGACCCTGTGTGCCTTTTTGACCACCTTGGGCTCCACCTTCGACAAGAAGCAATGGTCGGGCTATGGGCGCTGGCAGGAAGTCTTTCGAAAGGCCGGAGGATTGTTCGGGAAGGCGAAGAGAATGGCATTTTGATGCACAGAAGTAGATGTGAAGAATTGATAGATGATATTAGATGAGAGAATGAATGGAATGGGCATGGCATGACATGAATGTAACGAGGCAGGTGCGGCTTCGCCTGAAACATCCTGAAACAAACTGAGGTGGGAAGACTTAGAAAGGATCAATAACTTGGAAAACAAGGTCAGAGATCAAAGCGAAGTCGGGAAAGGTCAGCGTAAGGTCAAATTAGATCCCTACTGGGCCAGTATGCCACCAATTTTTCGCGTGGATAAATCCAAAATCTATTCCAGTTATATACATCCCACAGTATTTTCATTGTTTTTTCTATGAACATACCATGAATATTAGTGTTAAAACTGCTAAACAACATGTTCTCTTGCAACCCAAATCCCCAAAAATCAGCTCGCAATGATGGCGTGGCTGCCCTCCCATCCATGGCGAGCTGCCAAATCCCCGGTCCGGTCATTTATTTCGGAATAGGACAACAGACATCTCTAAATAGGGAGATTTTCCAGCAAATCATGAGAGAGAAAGAATTATATTAATACATATAGATATATATGAATGATTACCAGATGGATAGTCAAATTATGTCCTTTTTGCATGGCCTCGTGAACTATTCTCATCTCAGTTAGAGTGCTGACATTGCTATGCCAGCACTTGAGGTGGAGCTCTTTGCGGATGACAAAGCACAGACCCCACGCATCCGGTGCTTGTTGAAGGAGTGGCTGGGAGGATTTCTTGAAGCAAGCATGGCTGGGAGCAAAAACCATGGATGTCATTTGGGTATGGGTCAAAATTAGGTACCCCAATAATTGGATGGTTAATACTAAACTAGACTAACATCTGTGGTCCCCTAGGTCTTCCATTTTGACCCACATCCATTTAAGGACACATTTGTATCCTATTGGCTCTGGCCCTAGACTACCAATATCACGAGATTGTCTGCCCCGAAATTGGGATAAATTTTCTGTTTGACTTTTTTGGAATTCCACATTCAATCTCGTTGGGATGTACCCTCTAGGAATTTTAACCGTTCTGGAATTCATAGGTTTTTCTCATCGACCTAAAGCCTCCTTGTCAGCTATTTTCCATTGCTAAAATAATTGGTAGCTTTGCCTCATTCCTCACCTTTCCCAGGACTTACTTGACAAGCGTCGAAATGGCTGGCAGGAGAAGAAGGTGCCTTGGACAGCGGGTCTTCGATGGAGACTTACATGATACTTTCGTTCATGACGGGGATGTGTATGTCCATATGGCAGCTGGGGATATCTATGCCAACCAGCTAGATTTGTTGAAAGTGCAGGGTTTCAAAGATTGGCCATTTCCACAAGGGGCCGTAGTATGGCCCCATTGTCTTCGGAATCCCCGTGAAAAGGGAAGGGAAACGCATCCATGATTCTTCTGCGGCTCATAGCCATAGACCATCCTCTTCGGCAAGTCCTTCGATCCGAAGGTGAGTCAAACGAAGACCTTCGAAAGCCTGTGATTTGTCTTGTGGTAAGCCCAATTTCATAAACCATTCCCAATGACTTGCCGGAAATAGCTGATCCATGGTGATCCAAAACATCTTCAAATTGGTGGTTTATGATTGGGTTTCGGTACATTGAAAAGACTCCAAGTGACCAGCTGACTTTCGGAATGGCTTGGCCACCATTGAAGTGAACCAAGGTGCAGTATGGGAACCTTGGTTGCAGCCACCAACCCATGCGGGTGACACCCAAACCAAAGGTCGTGGCGTCACTTTCAATTCAACACCTGTGTCGTTCTTCACCCGCCTTCGCACAAGAAATGCTTAGATCACTGATCTCCCTGTACTGTATCCGTATCTGGGTTGGGGTTGCCAGGTGTGACCCCCGTTTCCTCTTGACGTGCCCGGCCTCGGAATGGCAACTGGTGGATTCATGTTCTTTTGTGGTCCGTTGTAGCCGCTGTAGCCTCGAACTTTTGGCAATCCTCACCACAATTTCTTGGTCCATTCTAGGGGGACTTTTCCGACCTCCGCGTGGTTAGAATGTCATCAGAAAGCCTAGGATCCCGGTTGCCCATGTCGGATCGGACCAGCGTCCTGAGGACAGGCAAGAAAGTTGATTGTGCAAGTTCGCCACTTTCCAATGCCCGTGCCTTACTGGGAAGCCACAGAAACCGCACTGGATCACTGGATCACCCACCAATCACGGGAGAAGAATCGTCTCCCGTCAGGAGAAGGTGGAGAAGAAGCTCAATTGGAAGCCTGGGCAGAACATCTGCAGCGCTGGAAACATCTAAGTTTGGACCGCATAATTTTGAGCCACAACCACCGGGATGTTTATTTGATATCATCAACTGGGTGATACAGTAACATAATGTAATATGTATTATATATATATAACTTATATAACTATATATATATATAGAGAAGCCCATACGTACACATGTGTACATACCCAACATATATTTTTTCACACATATGCAGTACATACTGTAGCACACGTTCGCAGCAGCAATCCCTAAGCTAGTTCCCTATTTCATGTAAGGGGACATCTATACTGCTTGGTGGTTTGGAACATTTTTTATGTTTCCATATATTGGGAATAATAATCCCAACTGACGAGCATATTTTTCAGAGGGGTAGGTCAACCACCAACCGGTATATGTGTGCATATATATATATAATCACATATATATATATATAGTTTTATTAGTTTTTGTTTATTTATTTCTTTTTCTGATACCTTAGCTGCAAGGAACAACGGATCAAGGCAACTGATCAAGGCTGCGGATTGTTCCGCTAGGGGCTCCGATTCCTCAGCAATCAGACCTGGCAATGGACAAGTCACGATTTATGCGTGATGTGCGGATTTTGTTCACCTGGTGATTTCCAGCCTGTCAGGTTTGTAAGCCAGAGAGTCACAAAATGGGTCAGCATTTCTTTTTGAGGCGTCCCTGCTGCGAATTTCATAACTTGAGGACTGAGAAGAAAGTAGATTGGATGGATGCAAGGATGGCCTCCCCGATTGCAGCGACTGGGCTGCACCGCTGCTGCTGTTAGGACTGTGACAAAGAGTTGATGGCTACTGGATACGGAAAAAAAATCAGGCTGCTATACATGTTTTTTTTCTTCTTTCCTATGCATGCGCACATGCGATATATAAATGCATATGTGGATATCATATGTGCAAGTCCAAACTTAGATGAATGATGAATGAATGGATGCAGTGACCCTGTCGTAGATGGGTTTCACCTTTGGTGACCATCGTTGCATTCGTTCCAGTCTTTAGACCATGCCGTTTACCAAGGACGAGAAGAAGACATGGAATGGGAAGCTGTGCTCAAAGCGCAGGTGGTGACATCTCATGAATGCATTGTTCTTTTCCCCTCTAGTTTTGGAAGCAGGCAGATTGTATAGACCAACCAGGCTTCCAATTATGCCCAGCCAGATACAGGATCATTCATAATGTCGCGTGATACCGGTATTGGGGGCACGTATATATTTGGGTTGGAATGATCTCAGCTGCAGGGCCCCGCATTTTGGGATGACCAAATTGATTTCGGTATGGGAAATCACCTTTTGCGAATAGGTAAATCATCAACTACCTGGGCCATTTTCATCCATGAAAATGCAAATGACCAAAGGGTACTACCTCAGCCCCAACTCAGGTTGTTTTGTAATGGATGTGGCCCCCAGTCGAGTTCGCGTTCAGTTGCCTAGTCACTAAGTGGCTTAACTATAGTTTATGGTAGTTTATGGTAGATATAACTTTTCATGGTTTTTTTTGAACCAACGGTGACATCACTGGGGGGCACCATCCATTTTCGCCTGGTTCCCCAAGGATGGGAAAGAAGACAGTGGCATGGATGGACACGAAGACCGCGGTGCGTGCGCCGCCATTTTCGGCCACGAAGGTGCCGAGAAATTTGGGGAATTCCACATGTTGGTGAGAAAAACATTGAAATTGCCATCCATTTAACAGAGATACCCTCTGGTAAACTAACATAGCTATGGAAAATCACCATTTTCAATGGGAAAATCCACTATAAATGGCCATTTTCCGTGGCTATGTTAAATAACCAGAGGGTATATCATTCGCAATCCATTTACTTTTGGTTTCTATTTGGTGGTATCCGATGAGAGCTATCCACTGTCTTTGTGTTCATGCATTGTTTTCCCACGAGCCATGGGGACTTCGCAAGAGGTAAGCCAAGATTTCGAGCGTTGTCCGAATGACATATGGACAAATCTGGGTTTCACACGCTGGTTATTTTGGGAAAAACATGTTTGGTACTGAGTTGTTTGAGATTCTGGGAGGCGATTCCCGAATACATACATAGATAAATACAGAGATACAGAGATACAGAGATAGATAGATAGATAGATAGATAGATAGATAGATAGATAGAGAGATAGAGAGATAGAGAGAGAGAGAGATAGATAGATAGATAGATAGATAGATAGATATAGATAGATAGATATAGATAGATAGATATAGATAGATAGATATAGATAGATAGATATGATAGATAGATATAGATAGATAGATATAGATAGATAGATATAGATAGATAGATATAGATAGATATAGATAGATATAGATAGATAGATATAGATAGATATAGATAGATAGATAGATAGATAGATATAGATAGATAGATATAGATAGATAGATATAGATAGATAGATATAGATAGATATAGATAGATATAGATAGATAGATATAGATAGATATAGATAGATAGATAGATAGATAGATAGATATAGATATAGATATAGATATAGATATAGATATAGATAGATAGAGATAGATAGATAGATAGAGATAGATAGATAGATAGATAGATAGAGAGAGAGATAGAGAGAGAGATAGAGAGAGAGAGAGAGAGAGAAGGAGAGGAGAGAGGGCGAGAGGGCGAGAGAGCGAGAGAGCGAGAGAGCGAGAGAGCGAGAGAGCGAGAGAGCGAGAGAGCGAGAGAGCGAGAGAGCGAGAGAGCGAGAGACAGACACAGACAGACGGAGACAGAGAGAGACAGACAGAGACAGACAGCCAGCCAGCGAGCCAGGCAGGCAGACAGACAGATACCTACCTACCTACCTCCCCACCTACCTACCTACCTACCTACCTACAGACATACAGACAGACAGACATACAGGCATACAGACATACAGACATATAGACATACAGACATACACACATACACACACACACATACACACACACACATACACACACACACACATATACATACATACATACATGCATGCATGCATGCATCCATCCATACATACATGCATGCATACATGCATACATGCATACATGCATACATGCATACATGCATACATGCATACATGCATACATGCATACATGCATCCATACATGCATACATGCATACATGCATACATGCATACATGCATACATGCATACATGCATACATGCATACATGCATACATACGTACATACATACATACATACATACATACATACACACACATATGTATATACACACACACATATATATATGCATTTATAAATACATAGCGCGGTTATATGCCCGCGTATCTGGGCACAATTATGTATATGCATGCATGCACACACACACACAATTACACATTCGTGTCTGAAGAAAATACACATGGCACATATCTAATAACTATATTTGCATATATGTACACATGTTTATATCTAATACTATATCGAATACTATCTAATACATGGCATATACCATGTATTTACATGTTCCAGACATAACCATCCATTCTGTGCGAAAAATCTCTGTCGGGCCCCTGAGAATTGGATCACCACGAACAGCAGGTGTTTATTTGGTGAACATGGGTGAACATTGGCCCAACATACCACAAAAATCCCCGACAAAAATCCCGATGCCACCGTGATCTCGGTGGCCAGGCCTAGATGATTCCAATGGCAAGATATATGGTTTTTTTCGTGGACGAAGATTGGTGCTTCAGTGCTCTTCAGAGAGCTTTTGGATTCAAAGGGGCGTTCGGGATCTGTGTTGAACACATCTGAAATGTGTTCAGGATTTGGAGACCTCCCACAAATTGGGACATCCAATTGTTTTGGGATGACAACAACCACTGTGAGGAATCGCAGTTTTGGATAGTTTTGGAGGCACATGCATGTGCTAGCATTGTTTAGTTCCATAGGTGATATTCCATTGTGGTTAAGATATCATATAGTCTTTTGGTGGCTCATTGTTAATTAACAATCCATGATAATATCCCTGGACATCGACGTAGAACTGCCAGCACTCCCTCACTGGAATGATTAGGACCCGGGAAATCTTCCCCTTTTTTTTTTGGCCTTATTTCAGGTGGGGTATCGGCTCTAGCCCCCAAACGGCTGCCCTGGTAGCTGTTGCTGCAAATAGAGCCATGTCATTCCTTGTGCCCATGCCTATTCCCGTTCTGAATCTCCTGAAGAAGTATGATTTGACATCCAGACCATTCACAATTTCTCAATCCATCAACATGGTCATCACTGACTTGAAGATTGAAGATGATAGCATTCGAGGGATGATGGTTGCACCATGGACTTTTGGACCAGAATTTGTGTCATTTCATACAGACAAACCCAAGAAGCCGGAGATCTACAATGACCCAATCCATCTGCAAATGGATTTTCACAAAGATGCCATCTCATGCAATGTTGGGGACTTTTATATTCATGAAGCAAAGGTAGCGGGGCTGGACCCGGTGACACTTTTGTGCGATGCAGACACACTGATTTTTCCATGGAACATCTCTGACCGCCTGAGCAAGCAGCATGACAGATGGATCTTGGAACAATATGCAGGAGGATATGGTGGATGGTCTTTTGGCATGAAGTATCTCCTTGCACACCATGAGTTCGCTCCACGTAAGACCATTGCCATTGAAGCACACATGCCATACGCAGTTCAGTTTGCCTTGTCACACGGATATAATCTAATTGGGGATCCTGACAGCATGCCTGAAGCATTCCTCAGAACACTCAATGAGAATGTTTGTATCCATGGCAATATTCAAGACCTGAATTGGCAAAAGCAGCTTCAAAGCCTTTATGCTGAAATTTGGTGCATTAGTGCGCCATGCAAATCATGGAGCTGGGCAGGAAACCAAGATGGTTTTGCGAATGATGATGGTTTACTCCTAGCCAAATCCATTGCCCAGACCAGAATTCACAAGCCAATCCTGGTGGCCATTGAACAGGTTGCAGGATTCGAGGCCCATTGCCACTTTCCGACAGCCATGAGAATGATGCATTGGGCAGGCTACCAACCAATTCACCAAGGGA